CAGTGGTGAAAAAATAGCCGTTTCAAGTATCTTAAGACAAAACATTATCGATTGCCGGGAATTTCACGACAGAAATCGAAAAACAAGAAAAAATAGGAAGAGAGCTCACCGTCGTGTCCACTAATTTCAGCTGATTAGCATAACGTACGGCTTGCTTTAGATTGAAAACGGCCTGCTCATCACTGAAACGAACCAACGAAAGCCTTTCGAGATGAGTGATAAGAGCCTTATCAAAGAAAGGCGCATCTTCCACTTCATTTTGATTTATCTGCAAACAAAAAAAATTCCTGGTTTGTAGTGATAAAACATAAAAAAAAGGCACCCCGGCTTCTTCTGATAACAGGCGTTTTGAAGCTCCAGGCTTTATCACGTTTTTGCAAAAGTGCATGATACCAAAAAGCAATGTCGCAGGATAAAAAGTATCCTACTCTAAATGGAAAAACTACAGGTCCCTTTTAACATCCTTATCACTTCGACCACTTTCAATAAGTATGAATTCCCTAACTTCTCAATATTGACTTTATCCATTCAGAAGCATAGGTAGATTCAGAGCAGCTTCCTTCGGACAGAAGCGATTTTGGCAATTTTTTCCTTTCCCCCTACCCCTCCTCTCCTCCCAGGTCGTCGGTACATCGCAAACTCTACTATGCCTCTCCTCTTTCCTCGCCGGTCCTCCTTAAACCGCGGCGATGGCTGGGAGAGGAAGGGGGAAGGAAGATAGAGAAGAGATTGGGGCTCCTGAAGGGGGCGGTGGCGACAGGGGGTGTCCAGAGTTTTCCATAGTAAAACAACTTCTACCAATGCCGCGAGGGTTTCCTCTCCCTTGGGATCCGCCAGTGCTCAAAACTGCTTCTGACTGTTTGAACTGTTAAGCTGATGATTCCTCAAAGAGACGAAGGAAACGTGGAGAGCTAGTAAAGCTGACCATCAGGCGACACAGCACTGGTCAAAGAAGCTGAACAGTAGTTGAAGGACAACGTTATAAAAAGCAACTGATAAAGATAAGTGTTGCCTGCTGGCTTTCTTGCAAAAAATATGCCTGCTGATTTTCTTGCTACTGTTGATCCTAGCATAGGTGGAATTTTTAGCTACCTTCTTTTTCTTCCTATTTTGGAGTAAAGAAGAACAGATGTACTTCCAGTATTTTCCATTAATTATTACAATTCGATTGTGTTCTTTTCCACGGTGGGCTAGCAACGCCAAACAAACTGCACATGTTAATGCATAGACGATTTCAGGCTCCCGTCCTCTTCCAATCTCTTAGCCAGGCAAATTCATTGTTTTATCTCTAAAATTCCTACAACACAATAACAATGGCAGTTTTTTTCTTAAATTTTAATGTCCTGACATCCAATGATTCAGAATATCTAACCGGTGAAGGGGTTGGTCTGCGTGGAACATAAATTTGGTCATCTTTAACAGAAGCTGCTGCTGCTGCTGTTGTTGCATTCGAAACATCTTTTGTTTTGGTACCACAATTGCATTTCATGGGGCCAAACCATTTGCGTAGCAGCGGTTGAAAAAAAGCTATCCTTGAATTCATAGCCAGCATTTTCTCCCTCCTCCTCGGCACCAATCCTGCAAAACACAACAAATTCTCCACTCCCCTGCAACAAACACTCTTCTCAATAAACGTACGCGAACCACTGTTGCCATAACATTCGATGTAAAAAAATCTGATATTTGTAAAATTACATTTCTGTACATCCAGTGCATCTATCCTGTTTCTTTCATCACACGTCAGCCATCGTTCTCAGCAATGCCCGTGACACGCCACATTTGTCAAATTTATTTCCCCATGAAACTGCTCATAAAAAGGACACGAAGGGATATGCCAAGCATCCTTTACCCCATTGCTCTCTTCGTCACAGCCACCGCTCGCTCTTCTGCTCCAACCATTGACCACAACCCACAGCAATATGTCAATTTATTTAAAAAAAGTTAAAATTAATGAAATAGCTTTCAGATGAAAAAATACCAGGAAAAAACTGGATACTTCAAATCAGAACACACATAATTCGGACACACATAATTCGATATTCGAATCAAAAGGCCCAAAGTAATAATTGACCAACGCACGGGCTGCCCGTGCGAAGATGCGTTTTTTGCACAGCTCCCCGCAGATTTTTGTCTCTAACGGCACTGGTTTTCTGTCAGATGCTTCTAGTTGAAAGAATTTCAGACTGGCCGCCAAAACTGTCAGGAAACATCCTATCAAAATTCCAGTCTTCTAGCTTCTCGCGTTCTCGAGTTAGCAACTTACCCGGAAGAAACCTTCACGCGCCTGTATGTAGGTACCACGCTTACCCACGGGAAGGGTTTGAACTCGCTAATACCCACTTGGACAGGAAACATTTCCCTAAGATTTCAGCTTTCTAGCTTCTCAGGTCCAGAATTATGGAATTACCCGAAAAAAATTTTGGCGGGCCAGTAGGCGGGTACCACACCGGGGGGATGGGTATGAGTGCACAAATACCTAGCTGGACAGGGAACACCCCCTAAGATTTCAGCTCTCTAGCTTCTCAGATCTCCGAGTTATGGACTTACCCAAAAAAAATTTGGCGGGCCCGTACGCGGGTAATAGCACCAATTTTGAGGATTGGGGCCCGTACGTGCATGTAGATTAATTTCCCAAAGTTTCAGCCCTGTAGCTTTTGCGGGTCTTGAGATGAAAACCGTGACAGACGCACACACGGACACACAGACACACACAGACAACCCCTCGTCAATATGCGTTTTCTGCATTGCATAGCTGCAAAAAACGCATAAACATATATTTTAACAAACATATTTTTAATTCAGATAGAGACCCAGATTACGAATTAACATTTACTTCAAGTATTTCCCTCCCCGCCCCAATCCCCCGTCATAGGAGCAACCGAAAGCAACAACACAGTAAAGTTACAATCATACCATAAAGAACATCAGCAATTCTGTTTTTAGGACAGAAAAACCAATATGCAAAACTGAATACATAATACCGTACAC